AAAAAAAAAAAAAAGAAAGGCTAATTATACTGCCGGGTGACACTTCTTGGGACCCACTGTTACTCGGCATGGCGGAGTGGCAGGGAGACAGAACCCAGGCTCACGGCTCACCTCATCTTAAGGATCATGGCACTGCACTTGATTTCCAGGTACTGGGCATTGATGCGGTCCAGCTCAGACTGAGTCTTCAGCCTATGCTCCTGCAGAAGTCTCTGCAGCAAGGTGAGGCACCGGAGAAGCACCTGAGCCCCGAGGGGGGGAAGGACGAGCAAGCCATGAGAAGCCTTGGCTTACCGGAAGGGCTCCTGGGGTCAAATCAGGAGAGCAGGCCACTCCCCACAAACCTGGGAGTAGGCAGCCCTCTTCTTCTCCAGCAGCACCAGCTGCTCCTTTTGCTGGCTCTTGGCCTCCAGGCACTGCTGCTTCTCTCCCACCAGGACCTCTGACAGTTTCCACACCTTTGCGGCTTTCAGCGTTTCTCCATCAGTATCTGGGCGGAGACAGGAGGACAGGAAAGCCCAGTAGATACCACCCTACAAGGGCCTTCGTCAGCCGGACGGTGGTGGTGCACATCTTTAGTCCCAGTACTCAAGAGGCAGAGCCAGGCAGATCTCTGTGAGTTTGAGGCCAGCCTGGTCTACAGAGGGAGTTCCAGGACAGCCAGGGCTTCACAGAGAAACCCTGTCTTGGAAAAAACAAAAACTTTACAAGGACATTTGTCTAATGCCCTGTCCTAGATCCTAAGTCCCGCTTCTTCCCTGCTTTTCCTCTTCTTTTTTAAATTTATTTGTTTTATGTATATGAATGCTTTATCTGCATGTATGACTTTATGCCAGAAGAGGGCATCAGACCCCACAATAGATGGCTGTGAGCCACCATGTGGTTGCTGGGAATTGAACTCGGGTCCTCTGAAAGAGCAGTCAGTGCTCTTAACCACTGAGCCATCTCTCCAGCTCCTCTTTCATGCTTTTCTAACAGTGTCTGCATCTTATAGTTAGGCTCTCCCACGCTGTAGCCCAGGCTATCCAGAATTCAAAGTAATCAGTCTGCTACAGCCCCTGGGGAGCTAGGTAGTCCCGTGTTTTTGTTTGTTTGTTGAGAAAGGGTCTCACCACATAGCCCCGGCTGCCTTCCAACTTACTATGAAGACCGGCTGGCCTGGAACTAAGAGATCCATCTGCTTGTGTCCCAGAGTGCTGGGATTAAAGGCATGGGCCATCATACCCAGCTTATTTGGGTTTCTTTTTAATTATGTAATGGGGGGTGGGGTGCATGTGAGTACAGGTGCCTACACAGGCCAGAGGTATCACAATGCTCCTGAAACTGGAGTTACAGGTAGTTGTGAACTGCCTACTGTGGCTGCTGGGAATGTCCTCTACAGAACAGCCAACTGCTCTTAACTGATGAGTCATTTCTCCTGCCCAAGCCTTGAATTCCTTTACTTATGTGTTCTGTATTTTTAAATGCGTACACGTGTGTGTGTATGGCTTTGTGCATGTGTGAGTCCAGAAGAGGGCATCAGATTTCTTAGAGCTGGAGTTCCAAGTACTTGTGAGCCTTCTGACATGGGTGCTGGGAATCGAACTCAGGTCCTCTGCAAGAGCAGGGGACTCTTAGCCCCTGAACATCTCTACAGCCTGTACTCCACAAAATAAAGACAAAGAGGACACAGATACACTGAACTTTGCTCACTGCCATTCTGATCCTTCTGAAAAAGCAATTCATCTTTTCCTGAAGCGAGAAGACGCCACCCAGCTCAGCACCTTCACATCTAAAAGGAGTCCTTATGAAAGTATTTGTTTTAATCCTACTACCTAGGAAACAAACATTTCTGATTCTAAAGTCTCAGTCAGAGTAGTCAAAACTGGGCATGGTGGGTCATGCCAATAATTCCAACACTTGGGAAACTGCTGTGGAACAATCCTTTTCTACACTGTGAATATGTGTTACTCTCATTGGTTAATAAAAAGCTGACAGGCCAGTAGCTGGGCAGGACGTTAGGCAGGAAAGCCAAACAGAGAATGATGGGAAGGAGGGCGGAGTCAGAGAGTTGGCAGCCAGAGGCAGAGGGAGCAGGATGAGAATGCCTTACCAAGAAAAGGTACCAAGCCACATGACTAAACATAAATAAGAATTATGGGTTAATTTAAGTGTAAGAGCTAGTTAGTAATAAGCCTGAGCTACCAACTGAGCATTTATAATTAATATTAAGCCTCCCAGGCAGATCTCTGTGAGTTCGAGGCCCGCCTGGTCTACAGAGAGTTCCAGGACAGCCAGGGCCACACAGAGAACCCTGTCTCAGACTTGTCTCAAACCCTTATCAAAGGCCTGGACAGGAGAGGCGCCCTCACCTGAACTGGGGTCGTGGTAGCACAGCAGAGTGAAGCTCTTCCGCTTGAGCTGCTCCTCCACCTCCAGCTGGAGCCGAGCTCTCATCCACACAAAGTCCTAAAAGAGAGCACACAGACCACTGGCACTAGGAACACCTCGCTAATGGACCTGAGGACACGGGCCACCTCACAAATAACCAAAGAAATGGCCTCAGAGAGCATGGGATGGAGGTATTTGGGGGACCAAGGCCAGAGACTACATGAAACCCTGCCTCCAAAACATAAATCCTAACACTAGGCAAGCAAATTATGCTATATCCATACAGTGAAATCCTACCAAGGGTTCTGTTTGTTCTTCCATGGTGGGTATGGAACTCAGGACCCTGGGCATGCTAGGCACGGGCTCTACCACTGAGCATCTCCCCATCCCTGGGAGTGGTTTAAGCTGATACAATGAAACTATCAAGCACCCAGTGCCTAGACAATGTTCAGAGTGCTACTGGAGGTTATCATTTTATTTATGTTTATTATTGTTGTTTTGTTATTGTTGATTTTTTTGGTTCTTTGAGACAGGGCCTCTCTACATAGCCCTGGCTGTCCTGGAACTCACTATGTAGCCTAGGCTGGCCTCAAATTCACAGAGATCTGCCTCTGCCTCCCAAGTGCTGCAACTACCGCCTTGGACCACCACACCTGCCTTTGCTGTTTGTTTTCTGGGATACACTTGTTACACAGACCCAGGCTGGCTTTGAACTCACAACTCTCTGCTTCAGCCCCTAAGCACTGACTTTACAGGCATGAGCCTCTACTCTGTTTTGTTTCTGAGACAGGGTCTTACTGTGTTGTGTGTCTCTGGCTGGCCTGGAACTAGCTATATAAACCAGATTGGACTCGAACTCGTAGAGATCTACCTGCATCTGCCTCCCAAGTGTTAGGATTTCTTCTTAAAGATTTATTTATGTTTATGTCTGTGTGGGGAAACATGTACATGGGAGTGTAGGTACCCGTAGAGTCCAGAAGTGGGTGTCAGAACCCCTGGAGCTAGAATTACAAGCAATTATGATCCACCCCAGGTTGGTCCTGGGAACTGAACTCAGGTCCTCTGCAAGAGCAGTATGTGCTCATGCACTGGGCTACCTCCTCCCAGCCACAGTCTCTACTTTTGAAATACCTCTACTGACTTGAGTCTTATTTTAAAGGCAGTCTCATGTAGCCCAAACAGGCCTTAACTCACTAAGTGGCCAAGGATGATGCTGAACTTCTGGTCATGAGTTGAGAACAATCTGAAGCCAGTCTGGCCTACTGAGTGATACACCCTGTCTCAGAAAAACCAAGAGGATGGGCCAGGACAGGCAGAACACCACTTTATTCACAGCACTCACTCAGGAGGCAGAGGCAGGGGTATCTCTGTGGGTTCAAGGCCAGCCTGCTCTACATCGAGAGTTCATCCAGCCACAACTACACAGTTAAGTCTCGTCTCCCAAAAATGCTTTTAAAAGGGGCAAGAATGTGGGCCGGCTCAGCGGTGGAGCGCACTGGGTGCTCTCCCTGAGGGTCCAGGCTTGCTTCCCGGCTCACAACAGCTCTAACTCCAGTTCCAGGATGCTGTGGGGTATCTGATCACAGTGAACCCCAAGACTTCGCTATGTACATAAAATCAACCATACGCAAGAGACAGAGCAAGCAACCAGTTGGCTGGAAGTAAACGTACACAGTGAGGGGAAGTTGGGAAGTTGGACAGAGACCCACAGGAAACAGAAGGGAGGGACATCCGGTTGGAAGAATTTGTTTGTTTGAGAAGGTGTAGAAGAAACCCATTTTCCGAGATGACTGCAGAGGAAGGTCATCCTGCTGCTTTCTTTTCTTTCTTTTTTTTTTTTTTTTTTTTTTTTT